CGACATTGAAAGAGAATAAGGATACAATTATTTGCCCCTGTAAAGATTGCAAGAACCGTATGGCATGGACAGATGTGACTATCATCAGATCACATTTGATTATACGAGGATTTGTTGAGGACTACACAGTGTGGATTCATCATGGTGAAACGGTTATTGTTAATGACGATGTAGACCCTCAAGCTATAGCCCAAACAAATTTTAATTACCCTAAACGGTGGACACTGGATGCCAAAGAGCTAGCAGCTGCAAAGACTCTTTGGGAGAAAGAGCGCATCCGTTGTGCGAAGCTAAGGGAAGAGTCCCTTAAGGTTGCGGCATACATTGCTCTGGCTTTCAAAAATCTCCAACAACACTCTACTATATGGCTACCATACAACTTCGAGTAAGTTCAACTATAACTTAAAGCTATGTTCGATATATTTTATTCGATGTAAAAGAGCTTATCTAGTTCTATGATTAAATCCATGCAGCAACCACTGGATTTGTATAGCCGTCGATGTCGGAAAGAGCATGGCATGGGTCTTTGATTCAATAGATAAGGACCCGGCGACATACAAAGACTTCATATCGATTCTCAAGACGTATACATATCGACAATCCTCATTAGCTTATATGTCTGTATACATACTTGTAACGTTCACTTATGCATACTAACAAGTTGTATTTGCTAAAATAATTGAGCAGGGCATTTAGGTTCTATGTCTCTCATCATCACGGAAGGCATGATCCAAATGAGGAAGGAAAAGTCGGCTATAAAAAACACTATGTGCGGTAAGTGTAACTTACTTCTTCAGTACTCCGTTACATGGCTGTCAAAAGCATTACCTAATATTTTCATATGCAAAACACACAGTGCCCCAAGTAGAGGCCTGGGAGTGTACATTGTAGATACTATATATGTTCTATGATGAGTAACACCGGTGCCTACAGGAGACACCCCTTAAGGGTAAGTTTGAACCTCTTCACCCGTAGTATAAAAACTTCATAAATGGTATGAAATACTAAACTGAAACTTGTTTTCTTGTAGTGGAGAGAAGAGAAAGGAATAAAAAGAGACCCATACAAGGATGACCAACTCTTAGAGCTCATCGGCGACCTTTGCAACTTCATATTGGACCAGATTGTACACGTCAGAGGCGCCTACCATGATCGAGAGTCTGACTTAGGTACAAATCCTCAGTACCAACACCTTCGTGAGACTGAAAGGCTAGCTCTAGGACGTTGATAACAATGTGTATGAAATTTGTATATTTAATGATGGATTGTATATATATATCATTACGAATTGGACTTGTAATTGTACTTTATATAATACTATTGTGCTTGTAGTCGCGTTCGGAACGTTGGTCGCGTGGCGTTCGGCAACGCGACCGCGGTTCGGAACGTTGGTCGCGGGGCGTTCGGCAACGCGGATGCTGGATGGAATATGCAGAAACAAACAGTTCTGGTCGAATTTGAATTGTAAATTTGAATTTTTTTTTGGCGGAAAAACGTACTGTAGGGGCGGTTCTAGATTGAACCGCCCCTACAAATAGGTATTATAGAGGCGGCTGGCACTACAGCCGCCCCTACAAATAGATTTGTAGGGGCGATTGGTTCTTGAGCTGCCCCTACAAATAGATTTGTAGGGGCGGTTCGTAATACCAGCCGCCCCTACAAATCTATTTGTAGGGGCGGCTCAATCACCAACCGCCCCTATAAATCGATTTGTAGGGGCGGCCTGGGAACCGCCCCTACAAATGCATGATTTGTAGAGACGGTTCGGTAGGAGCGGCTGGCCAAACCGCCCCTACAAAGGGTTACCGGCCGCCCCTAAAAATACTTTTTGTAGTAGTGGGCGTTGTTGCTTTCTACCTAAACCAAGGGGTTGGAGGGGATTAAGAGGCTGACTTACATCTTGAACTTTTTTTACAAGAATACATCTAGGACAATGAAGTGCGGTGGGAGGTTTAGGCGTATAAGCTGTAGGGATTAGTGAAAACAACCTGCCTTTCATAGTTTACGTGCGGGCGCTCGGTTGTGCTACTTGGGCTAAGACACAGTTGTGCAGTAACTTCACTGGAGCTGTGTCTTGCGGCTACTGCAACCGAGTAGGCTGGTGAATTTTTGTGTATTTCGAACTATTTTTGGTGAGAAATAATTTTTGCACCCTAACACCATGTCTTGTAGGCAACATCAGCAACTAGCTTTGTCGCAGCTAAAGTGTGCCAAAGAGCAACTTGATAACAAGTGGTTGTACTCCCTTGACACCCTCAATCTTTCATGGACCAGTTGGATAATAATGATGGTCGTAGTCCGTTCAAAAACTTGACAAACACTATAAATGGAGGTAACCCTTCATACATACTCCCTCCGTCCTGAAATAAGGTGCATTCTGGCATTTGAAATTTGTACTCAAATATAGTACATTCGGGGAAAAAGAAGATAATGTTTACTTAAATAAAATATATGATTATTTTGTATGAGGAAAGTAATTCATGTACTTGCCATATTTTGTATAAGGAGACTAATAGTTCACCCTTTAATCATACGAAAAAGAATCAGATTTCAATACATTAGGGAGGCAAGTGAGGGGTACATGCGTCTATTGCACTCTCCCTTATTTTGTCTGAAAAATGGCCAGAATGCATTGTATTTGAAGACGGAGGGAGTACATCAACATTAATACTTTGCCAAGGAATTGCATTAATTTTTCGTGTACATATTTGCAATACACAGGCAAAAGTTGATGAAGCTAAGCAATGTAAAAGGAAAAGGGAAAAGCACGATGGGCTACTGTCGACGGGATATCATCGATAGTCCACCGAGGGGTATACCCACGATGGTAGATTATGTGGTGGAGGTGCGCATGATCAGGAACCGGATGGTAACATAGGCACAGGGACATGAGGTTTAGACAGGTTCAGGCCGTTAATATGACGTAATACCCTAGTCCTGTGTTCTAGTGGATGGTATTGATTGTGAATTTGATGATGAAATATGATTTTGAGGGTGTCCCCTACCCGCCTTATATAGCTGAGGGTACGGTTACAGGTCGGTTAGATCTAAATCTAGTCGGTTACAAGATAATCATTATAAGGAATATGATATATAGTATATCTAATCAGATCTATCTTTATCTTCAAGATTCCTTCCAGAACCCTTGCGATGCACGCTGAGCAGTGCCTTACACCGCACGCCTTGATCTTGTGGGCTGGACCGTCCCTGATGGTGCAGCCCATGTGTTTGCGCCATGGGTACTCGGGGCTATACCCCCCCACAGCTAGTCCCCGAGCACCTTGTATCCATTGAGCAACGCCGTCTTGATCACATTCGAGCAGTCTAGCTTGAAGCCGACCAGTTTAACTAGTAGTCCGACCAGTTTAACTGATAGCCAACCGAAGAAAATAAATAGCCGACCAGTTTAATTGGTCAGCAGGCCTTGAACTTGCTCAAGTAAGGCTTTCTAGAAGGATGTAAGGAGCTCAAGATTAAATTTAAAAATTCTTCACCTTAGGTGAAGTGTACACACTTAGGCTCTGTTTGCAATGTTAGATGATTATCATCCATGACTTAGTCAACATGGAGATACTTAGGCTCCATTTATAACGTCAGATGATTATCATCCGTGACTTAGTCAATAAGGAGACATAGGACCTATTGCCGAAATAGTACACGCACCATAAGGTGCGGTGTATACACTGAGTCCCCGAGCCTAACTGTAGGTGAAGAATTCACCTAGCGCTAGGGTCAAAAATAGAAGACTCCAGATGCTTAACCGAACACACAACTAGTACCTAGCTTAGCTAAGAACCAGTAGGAAAGGAAACGGTACACTCACCGCAAGGTGAAGTGTACACACTTAGTCCCCGAGCCTGCTAGAAGATAGAGCAACATCTTATAGCATGGTCAAAATATGTTCGGAGATCAAAGAAGTGGAGTGTGCTTAGCACTTGACCACAAATGATCCAGGCATGAAACACCCGTAGTCAAATGTGGCCTACTTCAATGGAAACCTGAATAGCCCGTTTAATGGCCCATTATCCATCCTCAGAGGATTTGGAGTCATGCGTGCGGCACGGTTACCCAAAAACCCTAGAATGCAGAGGGGTGGGGGTGATCCATTATAAAGACCGCCGTCAGCGATGCAAGCCTCCACTTTTTGCCATCGCTTCGTCTTCCTTGTGCATCTGCTTCCAAATCATTCAACCATTCTGCCATTAGAGCAAATCTCCGCAAGAAATTGAATCAAATCCTTCTCCCAGATCCAGATCTGAGCCATGGCCAAGGGACAGAAGCGCAGCCGCATGGAGATTAGCCATGATGTTGAGTGGGTTAAATCGACCCTCACCAAAGAGGATCTCAATGGTATGGTAATTGAAGGCATCGTCCCCGATAGGGAAACCGGGGAATGGCATCCTGCAACAGGTGAGCTATTCCCGACTCCTCACACCCATGAGATTGTTGTCTTCGAAGCCTACTTTGTTCGGGGATTTGGACTTCCTGCCCATCCCTTCTGCGCAATATGCTCCAATACTATGGCATCAGCCTCTGCTATCTGAATCCCAACAGTATCCTTCATATTTCTACCTTCATCAATCTGTGCAAAGCCTTCCTTGGCATTTGGATCAACTAAGGTGGTCGACGGTTGTTACCTGGTGCTGCGGGACGGGATGGCATCCCAATACATTCAAGTCCCACTCAATACTTTGATGAAAGGGTGGAACACGAAGTGGTTCACTATGCACTGTCAAATGCAAACTGGTCGGCAAGGTCGAGCAGTGAGGAGATGTCCTAGGTGAAGGAACTGACGAAGATCCACAAGAAAATCAAGTTGGATGGGGTTGGTGTTGCGATTAATTTCATATGCCACCAGATCCAACCTTGCAAGGAGAGGATTAACCCCGTGTATGAGTACGCATGGGATGATGATATAGCTCGGGAGGTACCCGAGAAGTTAGAAAGGGGCGACGCCTCTGCCTGGCTCCAGAAGTTCTTAGCCGCTACGACGTTGAGGAATGTGGGGCAACAAAGGCCATACAGCCTCACAAATCCACGATCAAAGGCAAGTAATCCGACCAACTAAGCTAGTACTACTTCACCACTTGTAATGTTTTCATCATATCTTGGATGTTTTTTGCGTAGGACCGAGTGACGTTCTTCTCCAGCGTACTAGATGGCACACGGCCGACCGCTGTTGATGCACAGCCGACCAGGGACCGGCGACCAGCGAGTCCGACGCTGGATGACAACGAGTCATCCGAGTTGGACGGCGAGGAAGAGGAGGCCACTCCCAAGCACTACCCAACAAGGGGTGGGAAGCAGCCGGTTCACAAAGAGCCGCCCAAGAAGAAAAGAAAAGGAACAACTACGCCTCCCCGCAAGCAAGGCTGGGTGAAGATTAGGGAGCCCACCACACGCCCTAGTGGCCAGAGGTATGTGGCACTGGCAAATTCTGATGATGAAGATGAGCAGGAAACACTCCAACAGAGGGCTGCGCGCATGGGTACCCCCACTCCAACCACCGGGGCGTCCAGCCGGCGAGCCTAGGAAACTACCGGCCATGGAGCAATTGATGACGAAGTCCTCGAGCCTGAACGGGAGGCTCCAGCGGGGCAGACAACTACTATAAGCCCAGAGACCGTGGTGGCGAGCTGACTACCCCCGAGCTTCTTGACGACTGCAGCAGGGACCGCAGGGCAAGGGACCTCTGGCAGGCCGCGCAAGTTCAGGCCCTCTGTCAGGGGATCAGACCTGTAAGTATTGCTTCCATAGCCTATTCTGAGCACTATGATCGGTGGAAACCAGTTGGAGGAGGCGCCGAGGGCATCCGAAGATGCAGCTGGCCCCAGTGATGAGGACACCCAAAGCTCGGAGCCGGTAAATGAGGGTGAGCCGGTGGTGAGTCCCCAAGCATCTCTGTCGGAGATGGCCCTCGGTGCTCCGATCGGACCACGGCGCAGCGAGAGGCAAGGTCCCTCGAGGGAGATCCCCGAGGGCATCGAAGAAATTGATTGGGAGCCGCCGCGTCCTTGGAAAGCCCCGCCTCCGGCTGCAAGAACATTTCTACGCCGAGGAGACATGCTGGAGGTCATGGAGGAGGAAGAAGCCAGCAAACAGATGAAGGAACTTCAGGCCACCCTTGCATCGGCATCAAGCCAGATACAAGTAAACCAAGCTATGTTGTTTGCTTGTTGTCGTGAAGGTCAATCCTTAATTAATGTTGCTACAGGAGCTAATGAAAACAGCCGAGCACCGCACTTGCCTTCTGGAGCAGGCGGCCCCAGCCTTTGCCGAGAACAAGAGGCTGCGGGAGTCGATGGAAGCGCTCGAAAGGAGCTTGGCCGGGGCTCATGGCGACAAGGAGAAGCTGCAGTCACGTGTGTCAGAGCTGGAGTCCAAGAACTGGTCACTGACCGAGCAGCTCAGCACGGCTGTTGATTAGAAAAATGGTAAGACCTTTGGCCTTATGGCATAATGCCTTGCTTTTTACCCCTACGCCATGCATTAATGTAACCCCTGCTGAGCTGGAGACAGAGCTCTTCCTATCGCATGAGTCGATGGCACAACTGGAGAAAGAGAGGAAGCGCGTGCAGTGAAGAGAAAGATCGCCGAGGAGCTCCAATGTATGTTCTCGTGATAATAGTTCATCTTCCGGAGTGGTGAGCATGTTTAACACGTGGCTTTGATATTTGTAGTGATCGGCACTAACTCCCAGGTGCAATTCCAAGACATCCAGGCACGGCTGAAGGCCAAACAGGACAGGATCAATGACATAGTCACGAGAATAAAACCCGTAATGGACTACATCGACCCTGAGCCGGAGCCCTAGGCATGCGCATTCGGAGACAGGTCGCCCCGTCCCGACGCGATCGTGGATAGGTGCAGGGTAGCCTTGGCGCGCTTCAAGGAGTTTACCCGTGGCGCTGCCTGCTCCGCTGTAGGCCACGCACTGGCGGTAGTCCGATCCCTCTACCCCTCAGTAAAGCTGGAGATGATCGACATGGGTTTCGCCCAAGGGACGACGACCGCCAGTAGCAATGAGCTTGAGGAAGATGCGACAGAGTCGGGGACCAAGCTGGCGGATGACCTTAACCTGTTCGGTAATGAAGATAATGAACAGGAGTAGATTAGGATAAAAATTATCTATAAACTCTATATTTTGCCGAGCAGGTGTATATAAACATTATGGTTGCTCAAAATTATCATATTTAAAACATGATTAGTTCCTTGATAGTTGGTTCTTTATCGTGCCACCAGCCCCAGCTATCCCATAACCTATGGCGTAGAGCGCTGATTCTCATACACGCTTAAGAATACAGGCATCACCGAGGAGCTGCTGCCGACCGCTCATGACACAGAGCGCTACTGCCCATGCATGCTTAGGTGCGAAATCGGGAGCAGGGCCGCTTTTGAATAACACAAATAAGAATGTGGCTGGTCGGCAATTCGATGGTGAGCAAATGAAGCATCTTAAAGATGTTAAACACGAAGAATAAATGGACAAGTGTCAAGAAGAAAACTTTATTAAATGCTCATATATAAATGGGTACATATCTTTATTCAGAATGTTTCAATGATAGAAACGCCTAAGGAGCTCGATGTGCCAGGAGTTGGGGATGTCCACTCCATCTGCGTCGCATAGCCTATATGACCCTGGTCGGGTTACTGCCTTAACAATGTAGGGACACTCCCAAGGTGACGAAAGCTTGTGCATCCCATGGGTCTTCTGCTTCTTGTGGAGTACTAGATCACCGACCGCAAAGGATCACTCTTGAATGTTGCGATTGTAGTACCTTCGCAGTCCTTCCAAATATTTAGCTGTCCGAACACACGTAATCAGGCGCTCTTCTTCTAAACGATCAACATCTTCTAGTCGGTGCTGCTCAGACTACTCTTCATCAAAATTCTCCACCCTGGGTGCTTGGAAGGTGACGTCTGCAGGCAACACGGCTCTAAGCCATACACAAGGAAGTAAGGCGAGACATCAGTGTTGCGACCGGGCTGAGTCCGCAGCCCCTAGACCACAGCCGGAAATTCCTTAAGCCAACTGTCCGGATGCTTCTCCTCCTTCTCATAGAGTCTCTTCTTGAGGGCATCTAATATCATGCTGTTGGCCCGTTCGACTTGGCCGTTTGCTCTAGGGTGGGCGACCGAGACATATTTGACGGAGATGCACCGGTCTTCACAAAAATCCCAGAAAGCGTTGCCGGTGGACATAGATCCCAAGTCGGTCATGATGCTGTTCGGCCGACCAAACCTATGAATTATGTTTTCAAATAGCTCTGCTGCTTTCTTCGCTGTAGCCATGATGAGAGGCTTGTACTCAATCCACTTAGAAAACTTGTCAGTGGCAACATAAACATATTTGAATCCTCCTGGGGCGGTCTTGAAGGGCCCAATCATATCCGGTCCTTAGCATGCAAATGCCTAGGAGGCTGGGATCGTCTGCAGGGCCTATGCTAGAACATGGATCTGCTTGGCAAAAAATTGGCACCCTTCACACCGTCGAACTAGCGCTTCTGCATCTGCAACGACAGAGGGCCAGTAGAAACCAGCTCGAAAAGCCTTGCCGACCAGATTCCTAGAGGCTGCATTGTTGCCACATGATCCAACATGTATGTTGAGGAGCAACTTCTCACCTTCTTCTTGAGAGATGCATTTCTGCAACAGCTCCTCTTTCGCATCAGCTTTCCATCAACCAAGACATAGTGCTTGCTGCGACGAATAAGGCGCTCCATCTCAATCTTGTCAGTCGGCACCTCTATAGGTAGTGAGGTACTTGATGAATTGCTCTCCCCAATCACTGCTGGGCCCAGGAGCCGCCAGGACTAACTGCTCGGCAGGGGCGCTTCCTTGACTTCTTGCCCCTGCTTGATCGACGGTGTCGTGAGATCCTGGATGAAGACTCCGGCTAGAACCTGAGCTCTGTCAACCCTATCTTAGATAGCTGGTCGTCTGCCTCGTTCTCATTATGAACGACATGATGGAACTCAAGACCGTAGAATTTACCTTCAAGCTTCCTAATTTCGGTGCAATAAGCGTCCATCTTCTCGCTGGTGCAGGACCACTCCTTGACCTGGTTAATAACTAGCATAGAATCACCGTACTCCATTAGGTGTTTAATGCCAAGGGAAATGGCGATGATGAGACCATGAAGCGCCACCTCATATTTAATGGAATTGTTGGAGGCCGGAAAATGGATCCATAGGACATAGTGGAGCTCGTCCCTAGATGGAGTAATGAATAGCATGCCTACCCTAGCACTATCGAGATTGAGAGCTCCATCGATGTACATTTCTAGTGCTTGGGACTATCGGCTGGGATAGGAGCTTGCATCTTGGTCCACTCGGTGATAAAGTCAGCGAGCACCTGTGACTTTATAGTCTATCGGCTCTTGAACTCGATGGAGTACATGCTGAGCTCTACTGCCCATTTGATGATGCAGCCATTGGCTTCCTTATTGCGAAGAATATCTCCAAGTGGGTACTCGGTAACCATGACCATGTTGTATGTCTCAAAGTAGTGGCGGAGCTTCCGGTACGTAATCAAGACTGCATACAAGAACTTCTAGACCTACGGATACTGAGTCTTAGACTCGTTCAGGGCTTCGCTGATGAAGTAAACTGGGCGTTGAACCTTGTATGCACAGCCGGCCTCATCTCGCTCGACGACGATGGCCGTACCGACGACATGGGTAGTTGCCGCGATATAGACTAATAAGGTCTCACCAGGTTGTGGTGCTATCATGATCGGAGATATTGTCAAGAAAAGCTTGAGCTCAGCAAATGCCTTGTCAGCCTCCGGCGTCCAGGTGAAATGCTCCTTGGCTTTAAGGAACTTGAAGAAAGGGAGACCTTTTTCACCTAGTCGTGATATGAAACGACTTAAAGCCTCCATACACCTTGTTAACTTCTGGACATCCTTGACATAGGTCGGCTGCGTCATGTTAGTGACTGTCGATACTTTTTTAGGGTTTGCTTCAATGCCACGGTAGCTAACGATGTACCCTAAGAGGATACCAGATGGGACACTGAAGATGCACTTAGTGGGATTCAGTTCCATCGGTATTTCCTTAGGTTGGTGAATGTTTCGTCGAGGTCGGTGATGAGGTCATTGGTAGTGTTAGACTTAACCACTACATCGTCGACATATGCTTCGACTTTGCGCCCTATCTGTTTGGTGAGGCAATGCTGGATGGCCCTTTGGTAGGTGGTGCTAGCATTTTTAAGTCCAAAGGACATGGTGGTGTAACAATAAGCACTGAAGGGCATGATGAAGGAAGTCTTAATCTGGTCATCCTCCTTTAAGGCGATCTGATGTTAACCAGAGTAGCAATCTAAGAAGCATAGGAGTTCACAACCGGTGGTGGAATCAATGACCTCGTCTATAGAGGTAGGCCGAAGGGGTCCTTAGGGTAGTGTTTGTTGATATTGGTGTAGTCAACGCACATCCTCCATTATTTATTCTTCTTTTGTACAAGGACTAGATTAGCCAGCCACTCAGGATGATACACCTCTTTGATAAAACTAGCTGCTAAGAGCTATGTTATTTCTACCCTAATAGCCTCCTTCTTGTCCTACGCGAATCGTCGGAGCTTCTGCTTGATCGGCATGGCGGTCGGCAAGACATTTAAGGAGTGCTCAACCAACTCCTGCGGCACCCTAGGCATGTCTACTGATTTCCATGCAAACACGTCTATGTTGGTGCGTAGGAAGCTGACGCGCACTCTTTCCTATTTGGGGTCGAGGTTGGCCCCGATCTTGGTGGTCTTGTTCTTGTCGCCAGTACCGAGGTCCACCTCCTTGGTCTCCTTCGCCTTCGTAGCTGCTCGGGGTGCATCCACCATCGAAATCTCCTGCTCCTCCGTGGGTACCTTCTTGGACTCGATGAGATAGCTCTCCATGCGTGTGAGAGATCGAGCGCCTCAGCAAGTACAAGGCTTTCTCTCTTGCATGCATAAGTGACGGCGATGTTGGCTCGCAGGTGTAACACCCCGGGTGTTTAAATATTAAAAACCGAACATATCATCATATGCATTGCAAGGCATCGGTCATATTGCAAACTTTGATATGCATTCACTAAAACAAGTTTACCTTTATGTTACAAATATTGCTTGGTATTGTTTGAATCAAGTTCGAAATCTGAGTATTGATTTGAAATTCCAAAAACCTTGATTTTCAATATTTAAATCCTACCCTGAAAACCCATTTCAAAATAGAAGCACATTTTGGGGTTGAGTCTTAAAGAAAAGTTGTAGAGCTTGTTGAGTTGTATAAAGTTTGTTTTTTGAGTTTTTCAAGTTGTTTAGAAAAATTTGAAGTTATTTGAAAAGGTGAAATTCCTTAAATGTCCCCTATTTGAATTCAAAAGTTCATTTCAAAATGTAGACCGAATTAGGGGTTGGTTATAAAAGCAAAGTTGTAGAACTTTTGATTTTGAACA